GGCCTTGTTACTCCTTATTTTCCAAGTACACTGTTCTTGTCACTGGGCCAAGACCACTTTTTGAAAGGCGGTTCAGACCTATAATTCTGTGGTTCAACAACTTTAGAGACAAGAGGAGTCAATTATAGTAGAATTAACTTTACACAGGGTCACACAGTGTATGGTACAAACAGGAAATGACCCTTTAAAAATCCAGCCCTCTCAGCCTTCTTTTCATGTTTTCAGGAAGTGCTGCTTTCAAGAATAGCCATTTTTTTTTTCCTTCAGTCTTTAAATTACTTGAGATTACATGTATTTTAAGAATCAAAAGGAAATTTGCTTCCTTTTAAAAATAGCATGCTTTATTTGGGGATTAGGGTACTGTGGCTAGGAAAAGAATTTGCTTTTTAAAATCCTGTTTTTATTTTGCAAAGCTAATAGATCAGTTGTCACTAATAAGATTTGTCCCCTCCCCCTGCAATTCCATCAAAAGCAAATTTCTGTGAAGTAGTTTGTCATTCTCCTATTTAATATATTTTCCCCCAGAATTGTTTATTTCCACAGGCACTGCATAGCTTCTACGAGCTGCAGAGTGCTAACTGTGGCAAGTGAAGTAATTTACCCTGGGAACCTGAGCGCATGCTGTGAAAAGATTGCATTTTGTTAATATTGGGAGATTCTTGGGTTGTTTCTGCCATGTCCTGTGGATTTTTACCTTTCAATTACATAACAGCCTTGTTTCCTTCTTTTCTCTTTTACTGTCTTAGTCTACACCTTCATCTTCATGTTGATTTTAGTCTCTCCATTTGGGATCGCCCCTGTCGGTCACCTGTCTGGCATGCAGCTGCCAGAGTGGTATTTCTAGAACAAATCTGATCATCTCATTTTTGGAAGGAAATCCTGCAGTGTCCTAGTCCTCTCTGTAGACTGACATGCTGGGTTGGGTCCTTGTTTTAGCAAACTGTCCTCGCTCATCTGGGTTCCTCCTCCCTCCCTACTCTCCCTCAAGTCTTTGTTCAAACATCACTCTCTATGATCTTACCTGGCCACCATCTAAACGACTATAACCCCTTGCTCACCTGTACCTTCTCTCCAATTTTTAGTTTTCCCTCCAGCACTTATCACCTTCTAACATACTGTATATTTTACCAATTTTCTGACATGTTGGAGCTTTCCCCAAGTAGGATGTACTCTCAGTCAGGGCAGTGTATGGTATTTGTTTGTGCCCAGCGTTCCACTTCCTGCCCTTTCTCTTCAGTTACCTGTCTTTCTCCCTTTCAAGTTCTTGGTGAGTCCTGCATTACCCTGTGGATAGCGGTGGAAGGCAGTTTTCCTGAGCATGCCACCCTCTATCTCCTCCTTTGTCCAGGACATCTTGTTAACCCCTGGGGTCAGCGGATGTGGTATGCCTGCCTAGTGATGGAGTGATCCGGGAACTCACAATCACAGCTGGTGTCATTGGGAGGGCTGTGGGCTTTAATGACATCTCAGTGCTCCCTGTGAGCATTCTCTCAGTGGATGCTTGTGCATTGTTGGGTATTTGGTTGGATGGCCACTTGCTCATTGTCAGCTGGTTTCTCTGCAGAGCACATTGGCGATGCTCTTCAGGAACCAGGGTGATAAACTGGAGAAATCTCAGGGTGGGATAGGACACTATCTACTCTCCTGGCAGCCTCTCCTGCCACTGCGTGCAGTCCCTGGGGGAGGAAATCTCCAGAAGCAGAGCTGTGTGTCTGTATCGTAACAGGAATGGTGAAAAAATGCTCTTAGGAGTATGCAGTTCTGCCCATTGTCCTGTGGGTTGTTTTAGCAAATTGATGCCCATTGGATAAAATTAACCAGCCACAATATTCTAGTGCTGGGTTTGCCACTGTCCTCCATTGTAAATCATTTTAGAGCCCATCTGTTCATCAAATGGGTAGACTGGGAGTTTCAGAAACTAAGCTTATCAAATGATTCACTAGTGATATTAGATAACTTTGAATAATTAAAAAAACCACAAACCAACTCACCCAGTTTCTATTTAGGCTTACATCATTCTTTTCATTTTGCCAAAACCTCACAATATTTTTCAGGCAAGTAATCCGAAGAGCACCAATATATGTGTGTGTGTGTGTGTGTGTGTGTGTGTGTGTGTGTGTGTGTGAGGGGAGGGGGTCACGGTGTGTGAGTATGTATGTATTTTAGGAAGGGCTTGGTATATTTTTTGCAGAAAATGCAATATGGTGTATTTACTTTTACCTTTAAAATATTTTAAAAATATATACTAGTATATATGAATAACCCAGAGCATGGATTTATGCACATAAAAAGGAAATTAATTAGAAGAAAGATTCATATGGTAATTATGTTACTGCAAAATTACATGTCAAAATAGTATATATAATATAATATTATAAAATTAAAATACAAAATATTTTAATATCACTATTTGATGTGTCAGAGATGAAAGAAAATTAGTAAAATGTATATGAAAATAATATATAAATTAATAAATGAACAATAACAACATGATATAAAAACAACAAAGACATGGCATAAAAATAACAAAAACATGACTAAAAACAACATTGATAAAAGCAATGATTGATAAATTGATTAACAAATAAACAACAGCAACATGATATAATAACAACAAAGTGCCAATAGTTGGACTTCAGATACAGTCTGGCGTCTCATGCAATTGCCGCCGGTAAGAGCTTTGTATGAAGTGCACATGCGTGAGTCAACATTTATTTTTATTTATTTATCTAAATTTTATTCATTCATTCATTCATTCATTCATTCAACGTTTATTTTTAAATTGCCAGTGAATGTCATATGTACCTGCTGGTTGGTTGGTCAGATGATCAGACAGACATATGGTTGGTTACTTAGCCTTTTACATATATAGATGTATTTTTAAAAAAATATATTTTATTGATTTTTAACAGAGAGGAAGGGAGAGAGATAGAGAGCTAGAAACATCGATGAGAGAGAAACATTAGCCAGCTGCCTCTTGCACACCCCCTACCGGGGATGTGCCTGCAACCAATGTACATGCCCTTGACCGGAATTGAACCTGGGACCTTTCAGTCCGCAGATCGACGCTCTATCACTGAGCCAAACCAGCTTCGGTTATAGATACATTTTTATTGTTGACAGTATTGCAGATTTCTCCCCTCCCCCCCTCCCCAATCCATCCAGGTCCTCCCGCCTCTCCCCTAGGCCTTCACTACACCACTGTCTATGTCCATGGGTTATGCATATCAGTATTTAGTTCTTTGTTTTTTTCTTCTGATCCCTTTTCCTCATCCCGAGATATGTTAGTCTGTTCCATGCCTCCATGCCTGAGGACTTGGTCAGTTTATTTTGTTCATTAGATTCCACAGATAAGTAAGGCCATGTAATATATGTCTTTCTTTGACTGGCTTAGTATTTCACTTAACATAATAATCTCCAGGTCCTTTCATGCTGTCTCAAAGGGTAAGAGATTCTTCTTTTTTATGGCTGCATAGTATTCCACTATGTGAATGTATTCACACAATATATTCCACAGCTTTTTTATCCATTCATCTACTGATGGGTATTTGGGTTGTCTCCAAATCTTAGCTATTGTGAATAATACAGCTATTAGCATAGGGGTGCATATATTCTTTCTGATTGGTATTCCAAACATTGTTGGGATATATTTCTAGAAGTGGGATTGTTAGATCAAATGGCAGTTTCACTTTTCATTTTTTTGAGGAAACTCCATACTGTTTTCCATAATGGCTGCACCAGTCTGCATTCCCACCAGCAGTGTACTAGGGTTCTCTTTTCTCCACATCCTTGCCAGTACTTCTTTGTTGACTTATTGATGATAGTCGACAAGTGTGAGATGATATCTCATTGTAATTTTAATTTATATTTCTATGATGATTAGTGACGCTGAGCATTTTTCCTTATGTCTATTGGCCATCTGTATGTCTTCTTTGGAGAAGTGTCTCTTTATCCATTAGCCAATTTTTTTTTTTATTGGATTGTTTGTCTTCTTTTGGTTGAGTTATATAAGTTCTTTATATATTTTGAAAATTAACTGTTTATCAGATGTATCGGGCATGGTATTCTTAAAAGATACTTTACTAGAATGTGTGTGGCAAAATACCTTGTTTATGTAGCTATCGATGTACTATTCTTTTTCTTCATCTATTTTTGTCCCTTTGCTGATTTGAACTTTTGTCTACATGTGAAATAAAAGTGAACACTGAATAAATGAAAGATTAAAAGCCCCACATCCGGCTTTGTCTAACCACCAGAACTGTGAATGGCTGATCCTTAGTAATGACTGCACCTGGGTGTTTTATGGGATATGTGGCATAAGTGAGTTAGATTTCAGGATTCTATACCTACGGATCGTAATTTCACCTGTTTTACTACCAGTCTTGTCAGAACTCCCAGGCAAGTGTGGAATATCATACTGTTATAGAAAAATTCAAATTGGTCACAGATCACATTTACAGGCTTTGACACTTTGACTAGGTTTGGTAACCAGTGCCTGGGAGACACTAGACCTCTTGTGCGCACGTGCGTGCATGTGTGTGTGAGGGCGTGTGTGTATGTGTGTGTGTGTGTGTATACTGAGGCTGAGGCGGGCTTGGCACTTCACAATATTGAGTGAGAGAGGAGGAAACAGTTGGGTGGAGAAGTGTCTTGCCAGTATTTCCAGGGTAGACTGGGGGTTGAAATATAGATTCTGTTTGTTGATGAAAAATGTGTCCATTTTAGTGGTGAGGTGATAAGAAATTGTAGAAAGTTGATTGTTTTGCTCAGCTGTGACCTTTGATGTTGACCTTATGTAGACCTGTACCCATTAGTTTTGACTCTTAGTATCTTCTATTATTACTACATTGCATCCTGCATGTTATAATGAAATAGTAGCAGCTCTGACAGGATGCTTTGGAGAGTTTAAAAATATGTGAATCTAACTCTTTTCTTTGTTGGTTGCCCTTAGGTAATTCTTTCTGCAGGATGAATTAAGAGAAGATCCTTCTTCCTTAGGAATGGAGAGCAGTTTGCCAGCTACCAGTATGCCAGCCCCTTCATCTTCTCCCTTGGAGAAACATCCCAGCTCAGCCAATGGTAATGGAGATTTTGATTCAGGTAAGATTCTGTTTTCCAGAGCCATTGGGCCTTTTGATGTATTGACCAGTATCTTTCTGAAAATGTTCAGAAAATAGTGGGGCAGGGCATCCAGTTCTCACATGCGACCTGTTCCTAGGCTTTGCTGTCATATTTATAAGTACCTAGCAGCTTGAAAGTCAGGCAAAATTTGCTTTAAAATTAATATTAGCTATATACTAGACAGGGCAGGTTAGGTGATAGTGGATTGAAAATCTCAATGATTGAAAATCTCAATGATAGAAAATCTCAATGGCTTAGCAAATAAATGTTCACAATTACTCACACTCCATAGTTCAGACAGTTGGTGGTGCTCTGTTGCATGGAGTCTCTGCACAGAGCCTGGCAGTGCCATCTCTGCTGCTGCCTCGGGCTTGGTTGTAACGGGAAGCAGAGTTGTAGGGTCTTGAACCAGTGATTAAATGCTCTAGCTCAGAAGAGACAGGTTTGCTCAGAACCTCTTTTTAAAATTTTTATTTTCAATCACATTTCACATTTAATATTATTTTGTACTAGAGGTCCAGTGCAGGGGGGAGGTCCCCTTAGCCCGGCCTGCACCCTCTCCAATCTGGGACCCCTCAGGAGATGTCTGCAGGGATTGGGCCTACACCATCGGTAGGACATCTCTCTCACAATCCAGGACCATTGACTCCTAACCACTCACCTGCCTGCCTGATCACTCCTAACAGCCCCTACCTACTGGCTTGATGCCCTTCACTGCTCCCCTGCCAGCGTTATTGCCCCTAAAACCATGGCTTTCTCCAAAAGGACATCAGGAAGATGTCTGGTCTAATTAGCATATTACTCTTTTATTAGTCTAGATTAGTTTCAGGTATACAACATATCACTTCGACATTCATATGCTTTACAAAGTGTTCCCTCCAACATTTTTACACACTTGGAACCATACATATTTAACCATTATGGGGACTGTATTTCTAATGCTACAGTTTATATCCCCGAGACTATTTTGTAACTACCACTTTGTAATTCTTAATCCTGTCATCTTTATACCCACCTCCCCTTACCCTATGCTCAGAACTTGATAAATCAGGTCTAGGGAGTTGTGGAAATCAAATTCTTGGGAGAGACCAAGATGGTAGCATAGGTAAACACCTGAACTTGCTGCCTTGCAAACTGCAAAACTGCAACTAAAAGACAAAATTCAGTGAAACCCTCAAGGATATGAAAAAAGACCAACTAAAAATTAAGCATACACTGACTGAAATAAAAAATAATATACAGATATTCAACAGTAGACTAGAGGATCCAAGAATTAAGTCAAAGATATGAAATATGAAGAAGCAAAAAACACTTAAATGGAAAAGCAAAAAGAAAAAAGAATCCAAAAATATGAAGATAGTGTAAAGAGCCTCTGGGACAGCTTCAAGCATACAAACACCTGAATTATGGGGGTCCCATGACCCTCTCCAAACCTCCAGCACAGCTTTCAGAAAAGAGCATAATGTGAAATTTAGGAGATATGAATTTGTGGTAAAGAAATCACAAAACAAACAAAACGAAACCAGTCTTTGGTTGAATTTTGATATTTACCCAATGAATTTGTAAATGCATCTTTTTCTAAACATAATAAAGAGATTATTAAAAAAATATATATTTTTTTAAAAAGGACTTAAGTATTACATAACAACAAATTAGATAAGGACAACTTAGGTCTCAGAATCATAGACAATGCTATAGTGAATTCATGGGCAAAAATGTTGATTATTAATTCAGTGGGAGATTTGACCATTGTTCCAAAAAGGTATGAAATTTGTTTTCACATTTTGATGAGGTCAGTCAATTATGTAATTACAGACTGTGTGATGTTAACAGGAAGCAGAGTGGCAGGGTCTTGAATAAGTGATTAAATGCTCTAGTTCAGAAGGGACAGGTCCCATTGAATGCACTAGATTATGTTTCTCACATTATATCTATATCTGAAAACGCCTAAAATAATTGCATGAAAGATGTGAGTATCTCTTTCAAAATTAGCTCATTGTTTTCTTTTCAGTTTCTTTCTACATAAAGTGGGAGTGGGAAAAAGTCTAAAAGCAGAGTTGAATCTTTTTCTCCCTGTGGAAACATGGAAATCCTTTTTCTGAGAGAGCATAGTTCCATAGACAGAATGTTCAGCCTAGTTATTTAAGTACAAATATGCCTTTAAAAAAGTCTTTGTTATGCTTGCTGAGTGAGGTTATTTTTCCACTTTTAGAGTCCCAGATTTTCACCATATTTTTGTGGTACACACATCTGACACCTATGACTGCATCATTTTTACTGGTGTGTTTTCAAAACTGTCTAGCCGGCAACTGTGTGTTGACTTTTCATTTTTGGGGCACCTGCAGTAGATTCTGAAACTTATTAATAATACGGTGTCAGGAAAATTAGGTATACTGAATTTTTTTTGTGGGTGATCCCATGAATGGGGAGGTGTGAGCACCAGAATCCTGTCCCTGGCTGGGTTACACCACATCAAATGCCCACTTCTTGGTTAGTTCCTTGCTTTTGTGTGCTGCGGTGCCTAAATCATCTAAGAGATTAAGATCCTTATTAAAACTAACAGTCCTAAAAAGCTCTAAATGATCTTAACATTTTCCAGATATTGGCCCTGACTCCTTCCCCTCCTAATATGGCTAATCTGTCTTTTCTCCTTGGAATTTCCATTTATACTTGTGTGGTGAGGAGACTTAGATGGTGCCCCAAAGACAGACTTTCCTAAAGAGGAAACTCATTTAAAGCAGGATGTAAACCTTTGGAGAGAGCAGATGCTAACTTTTAGGAACTCGGGTCTAGTTTTGAACATTTAGATTCTTAAGAACATACCCAAGTGGGATCAGTCAAGTGATTTATTTTCCCAAGTAGTTACCTTTTCACTTGTTACTACATAAAATACCTTGCCGCCTGCCATCAGTTGTGTGGATGTTTGGTTTTGGGACCCACTGTGATGTGCTTAGGGTTAGATGGTAGCTTGGTCTTTTTCCTGGAAGGGTTTCAGATGAGATTTCTATGTCAGATGAGCAGAAGGCAAACTGAGCTCTCTTCACTTGCCTATAAATTGACTCTCAAATGAGGTACAACAGGTACATGATGCTGTGTTCATGGCAGCGCTCCCTTAACTGCTTTCCACATGCTGCATTGTTTAAGTGTTCCACAACCCAGGGAAATAGCAGATGAAGCTGGTCAGCCAGGCAGAGTCACTTGGCTATTGTGTTAAAGCCAGAGATTTTATTCTGATGGTTTGGAACCTTGTGCTCTGAAACAATGAGCTGTGCCTGCCCTTCAGCCTGGACATTAAGTGTGCATAAACACACACACACACACACACACACACACACACACACACACACACACACTTTATGGGCATAGCAACTACTCAGATTTTTTCTTTGAAAAAAACCAACACATGTTTTTATTGATCTTAGAGAGAGAGGAAGGAAGTGGGGGAGGGAGAGAGACAGAAAAACATCAATGTGAAAGAGAAACATCAATCATTTGCCTCTTGCACCACCCCGACCAGGGATCGAACCCACAACCTAAGCATGTGACTGATCAGGAATCAAACCAGCAACCTTTTGCTGAGCCAGATCTGCCAACCTCAGATTCTTTCTTGTCCTCTCCACCAGTTGTTTCCCATCCTTTCTCCCCATGTGTTATATGACGTCTGACTGCATCTCCCTGACGGGGCCAAAGGATGGGAGTCGAACCTGGTTGCTTCCCATGTTTTGATCCTGTGTCTTCGGTTCCTCTGTCCCCATGCCCAGCTGCTGTGATCCTTGCACTGGTGCTCTGTTCCTCTGAAGTGAAAACCATCAGCTTATCACAGGACTCTGAGTGTCATTGGCAGTTTTCTCATGTGTAGTTTTGCCTCTTTTCCTAAGAAAAGCTCACATAGTTGGGGTCAATAACTGACATTTGAGTCCCAGGGATGAAATAGCTTAATGTAAAATGACTCCCACTTCTGGGACACCACTGGGATAAGCAGAGACAGAGGATAGAATGGACAGAAACACACAGAGGGACGAGGGCCAGAACTGGATTTCTGGAACTCTAGGCTTCTCCAATGGCTGTGATAAAACAAAACACTAGTGATAAATAGATTCCTGGGCATAATTTTTCCAGGATGGCTAAATGTAATTTCCTGATAAGTCTACAGATAAAGTGGTGGTGTGCATTTACATCAGGCAAGTCTGAATCAAAAAGCATTACTCTGGAAATGTGGGTTCGATTTTTTTTGGGTGGGGTGCTAGGTTATATCAACTGGGGTCCCACAGGCTCTTGCATTCAGGGAGGAAATGAATCAACATTCCTATGAGAGAAATTCAGATTTCTGACTCTTCATGCTGGAGAGGAACTAGTTTCATGTAACTCTGTTATAGTCCCTTTAAAAAATAACAACTCTCTTTCATATAGTTGTTGTCTCTCCTGGCCAAGAGGTTGAGACAGTTTTACATGTTTTCTTTTTTTCTGGAAAGTCTCTCTGGAAGTCTGGGTAGCTAAGATAGCACCAGGACCTCTGTGCTCAGGTGACGGTCCCCTCCTCCCCGGTTTAGTCCTGTAGCTGAGAACTCCGAGCTAGGATTGCGTTGGCCAGTCCTATCTGACTTTCATTTGAATGCAGTGTCTGCTTAATATATTCCCAAGGCACCTCTTTTCTAGATGCTCTGATGGTCTGAATGGACTTCCAGCAGTTAAAACAACAAAGATTTAATGTCTTTCTTTCTCTTTCCACATTAAAAAAATACCTAGCACACAAGAAGGTGCTCTGTAAGATTTTGTTCATTTCAAATGTGTCAGTTCTCCATTTTTTTTTTTATGAGGTAGTGGTTATGGGCTTTCATATCCAACTTTGCAAAGTTAGCCTTATTTCATATTTTAAAATTGTGTACAACCCAAGGTCTGATTACTTAAAGGTGTTTGAGTCGTTTGCTCATTCCATTTTTCACTATAAAGCAGCTTGCAGTCCAGCTTTTAGTAAGGTATTCTTTTTCTGCTTATTATGAAATATTCTGGTCACATAAATAGCTTTCTGTTTTCTAAAGCTGGAGTGCCACTAATGAACGAGGCTGTTTTCTTTTAAATTGTGACATTTTCTTAGTAGCTTTTCATAGTCTGTTTTCATTACATCATGGGGCAATGCCTCCGACTGGATCATTTGCCGCAGAGGGAGATTGTCAGTTTCCTTGATAAAATGTTTATGGGTTTAAGAAGTTCATGAATCAGCGGTAAATATTTTCTCTGGGTTTATGAGACCTCCACTCATAAACATGGTGTATGTTTATCTGTTGCTCATTGAAATGTCTTTAGAGAATCAACCACTTAGGCCCATGCTGGGGAGGACGTGTTATTAAATGACAGACTTCAAAAGGCTGTATTGTGAGGAGCCCTGCATTTTCTATCAGATTTTATTGTTGAAACAACACACTTAAAGTTACCAGTGCTGAGCATAAAGGTTTTTAAAAATATTTCTATGTCTGACTGTTGGGGTGCTTAATTAAAGTTCTTTTTGCATGAATAATTTTATACTTTTTTAAAAAACTGTACTTTAAAAATCACCCAACGCTGGCCTCTTTATGACCAGAGTTTTGGGATGTAGGAGCAAGAAGGATGTGTGTTATACATTAAGCAATCACGATTTGTCTGCACATTAAGGGGCACAAGTAATCGAGGGACTGAAGGAAAACTCAGTTGCAGTTGTTGGAAAAACCCATTCAGGACTGAACTGAGCTTACTGCCTTTATTAATCAGGAGAAATAGCAGCAACAGGAGAGACCAATTCATTGGCATGTGCCAATCTGGGCAGTGGGTCGCAGGGGTGACTGGAAGCTGGAAACCTGGCTGGTGGCTGCAGCTCAGGATCTGGTGGCTGCAGGATAGTGGGCTGGGAAAGTCTAGAGGCAGAATGGCTATGTCACTCCTTAAACCCTCTTTTCCAAACCACCTCCTAGATGCTTTCCTCAAACAGGGTTTTTTTTTTTTAATTTTTATTTTTTTAGACAGCAGAGAGTAACACCTTTCTTCAGCCTTGTTCTTAATGAAGCACACTTGGGAGTCCCGATGGTACCTCTTCCTCTCTTGGTTAACTTGAATGAATGAATGAATGAATGAATATCTGGGTGAACACGAAAGTATCTACAGTCAATCCTTGGTTCTCAAACATCTCCCACCTGGAACAATTTGATTCTTGACCAAGTTGTTCCCAGAAAAAATGTCTCAAACTTTGGTTTTCAACCTGACAACCCTTTCATGCTAATACCTCAATGACAAAAAGCGTCTCTTAGGCAACAAAGCAGAGGATGTTCCTGCCCAGGACCGAGTTTTATGCCCATGTCTGCGCCCTGGTTCTCTCCTTCTTTACAAGCAGGTCTCAGGGGCTGTGCCCCATATGGTTTGCCTCTTCGAAGGTGGCTGCTGCCTCTAGCCCTGTGTCTTTCTGTTGTCTGATTTGGCTCTGGAGTGTTCAAAGGCTCATCAGTGCAGGAAGACAGAGAGAAGTCAGTCTGAGTCTTCATGTGGAGAAGCTGGTGGTGGTGGTGAATGAAGGTGTCTGATTTGTGAAATGGGCAGAAGAATGACACAGGAAGGTGCCTCGTAAGACTTCCTTCCTCAAAATCAGATAGCCTGCTTTGGACTCATGCCTCCTTGGATGGACGGTTGTGTGACAGTGATGGGCTCCAGCCTTTCTGGGCCCCTGTCAGGGCCCCCATCATCCCTTCTATGAAATGAGGCTGCAGTATCCATCTGTCAGGGTTCTTCAGATGTAAAGCAAACAGCAGAGAGCTGATGTCCCACTACGGCATGGCTCTTTTGACTTTGCCGAGTTGGTGTGTAGTCACTTTGTGGAGCTGGAAGGTTGAGCTGAGGCTGGACAGGGTGCAAAAAAACAAAGTAGGACAAGTTAGCTATCACCAGGTCCTGGGCCAGATCACCTGGACTGATAAATCATGCTGCTGTGATGCTCTGGCTAGTGGGTCAAAAAGCAATATTGATAATCCATGTCCAGTGCTGTTTGGGGCAAAATAATTGTGGGCAGAACTGTTGGGTGACACTCACATGTGTCTTCTGAATGTGACTGCTTTCCCTTTGGGTTTGCCTTACTGTGTCCAAGTAGCCGGAAACCATCTGATGTCCTTGTTAGCTGGTAGCTGCAGGACCCTCTGGCTTTTTTCAGGGAACACATTTCTGATAAAAAGACAGTAAGTCCCTGGCTGAAGCAGCACAAGGGGATATACAAGGGAAGGGTTTTCTTTTCAGGTGGATTTTTATTTTCTTGGACATTTGATTATAAACCTCTTGATGTGAGTGAACTTTGAAAAGAGTTTTAAGTAACTTTGATTCAGAAGACAAAATTGAAGGTAATGGCCTTTCAACTTAGCATGTTCTGACTTTACAAAAAGTATCCTCTTCCATCATTTTCTGAGATTACGCACTGTATCACAAGAAAATTACCTTTCCAACTTTTAATTTAAAAGTCTTTTGTAAGAATAAGTAGTGATAGATAGCCTCAAGAACAAGGCGTTCTTTTTTAGACTCTTCCTTTGCCTCATCCCCCAGGCCCACCTGCCAGTATTTGTTCTTGGTCCAGTGCGGTAACCTCCCGTTAGTAGAAGATACACGGTGAAACATTATTGTAAGAAGAGAGAATCTGAACGTCTGAAGCTCTTACTTAGCTGCATGTATGACAGTCCTTGCTGCTGTATGTTCTTTCTGTAGGATTGTCTTACAAATTGGTTAAAGTAATGGTGACAGCTGATTAGTTCTTTCCATTTGAAATTGTGACATAAACTTATGTTATCTGTAATATCACTTTAAAATTTTTGATTGATTTGAGAGGGAGGGAGGGAAGAAGGGAGGGAGGGAGAGAGAGAGAGAGAGAGAGAGAGAGAGAGAGAGAGAGAGATCAATTTGTGGTTCTACTTATTTATGCATTCATTGGTTGATTTCTTGCATGTGCCCTGATGGGGATTGAGCCTGCAACCTTGGCATATTGGGATGACACTGAGATACCTGGCCAGGGCCTATGCTGTACTTTAAAATGAATTATTTGGTGTTTTTCAGCTCTACAGATTATATCTTACATATAGAATCTTGAATGTTTGGAGAATTACATGATTTGCTTCAGAGCCAAAATAGGGATTGCTTTAAGAGTCATGAACATTTGATTGTATTTCTCCTTGATCCTTGTAAATGGGAAATCCATGTCCTATTGGTTCTACTGGCATACCTTACCCTGAAAGCTCTATCACAGCAGCTGGCAGGACAGCGGACCCTGGACTGGGTCTCACAGTTGGTCTGTTTCTGTCCCTACCTTACCAGTGGCCTCACACACTTGAACAAATCCTTCTGGGTCTCAATTGTTTTCCTCTTGAAATGACATCAGTGCTTTCTAAAGTCCCATATGGCATTAACAGTCGATGCTATTATTCCACAATCCCCAGATGTAGTATGTAGCCAGGGATAAGAGTACCAGTGCTGTAAATACATCATGGTACTTACTCAGCATTCCATGGCTTTCTTCACCTTGCCATCAGTCTCCCCAAAGAATGGAGTGTCCACAGTGGCCAGTTCCAGAATGATATACTAATATGCAGCAAGTATGCCGGGAAACAAATCTCATCTCCTTTGCCTAAGAGCACTTAATATTATCTTTGATTTTGTCAGGGTATCCAAACAGAATTTTTTCAGGGTGTCCTCAGTTTATAAAGTCAGCAAACTGAAGCTATAAAAATAATTTGATAATATGTTCCAAAACCATTGAATTAAGGGATTTTCTAGTATTCATTGGGGACCAGTACCTTTCCATTCTTAACTCTACTATTGATATTTTTTTGTTTTTTTTTGTTTTTTTTTGTTTGGTTTTCATCTTTCAATAGAAGAAGGTTCAAGCTTGGAGGAAATTGGCTTTAACTGGGGCGAGTACTTGGAAGAAACAGGTGCCAGTGCAGCTCCTCACACATCATTCAAACACGTACGTATCCTTCCTTCTCCTTCTGGTCTGCATTTGGAGGGTGGGAGGGGAGCCTGCAGGAAGATGCCAAACCGATTGGAAGATAGGGAATGCGAAAAGAAGGGAAATTCAGCCAAGATTTCTTAGAAATAAAGAAGAAATGGGGAAGTTTGTTTGCTTAGCTGCAGGTGGGTTGGCCTAGCTCTTGTGGCTTATCTCACTTAATACAAGGCTGGGCTCAGGGCAGGTGAGATACAATGTGTAATTTTAACCTCCTCTGTACCTCAAAATGCCCTTGCACAGGGCCTGAGACAGGTAAGATTGGTATTCCATTGTATAGAGGTATCATAGTTTTCTAATCCACTCATCTGTTGTTGGATATTTAGTCTGTTTCCAAATCTTAGCTATAGTGAATTGTGCTGCTATGAACATAGGGGTGCATATGTCCTTTCTGATTGATGTTTCTAGTTTCTTGGTATATATTCCTAGAAGTGGAGTAACTGGGTCAAATGGGAGTTACATTTTTAGTTTTTTGAGGAAACTCCATACTGATTTCCACAGTGGCTGTACCAGTCTGCATTCCCACCAGCAGTGCACAAGGGTTCCTTTTACTCAGGATCCTCACCAGCACTTGTCGTTTGTTGATTTGTTGATGATAGCCATTCTGACAGGTGTGAGATGGTACCACATTGTCGTTTTGATTTGCATTTCTTGGATAATTAGTGACTTTGAGCATGTTTTCATGTGTCTCTTGGCCTTCCTTTGTCTTCCTTTGAAAAGATTTTATTTAGGTCCATTGCCCAATTTTTTATTGGATCACTTATCTTCCTTTTATTAAATTGTATAAACTACCTGTAGATGTTGGAGATTAAACCTTTATCAGCCTTCACATTAGTCATTTGAGGTTCATTTTGCTTGAGACTCTGTGAGCTTCTTGGATTTGTGTGTGTGTGTGTGTGTGTGTGTGTGTGTGTGTGTGTGTGTGTGTGTTTTCCTTATATCAGACAAGTTTTCTGTCATTATTTCTTCAAACAGGTTTTATATTCCTTGTTCAGTTTCCTATTCTGGCAACCCTATTATGCGGATGTTGTTTTATTTTGCATTGTCCCTAAGTTCCCTTAGGCTGTCCTGCTTTTTAATTTTTTTTTTTTCTGCTCTACTTGGATATTTTTTTCCATCTTGTCTACTAGCTTACTGATGCAGTCCTCTGCTTCTTATAGTCTACCTTTGATGCTTTCTATTGAGTTTTTTATAGCAGCAATGTTATTTTTCATTTCTTCTTGGTTCTTCATTTCCTCTTAGTATTTACACATATTGTTGAATTTGTCTTCCATTCTTTTCATCCACCTTATGACTATTTCTCTGAATTCTTTCTCTGACAGGTTGCTTGCCTCCATTTCATTTATTTCCTTTTCTGGTGATGCCTGCTTTTTTTTTTTTTTTTTTTTTTTTTTTCTTCATTTTTGGGCTGTTTCTTTGTATACCCATGATCTCTTTTCTCTGAGTGTCTGGTTATGTAGTTCGCTCTCTCCTATGTTCATTTAAAGGCACAAAATACAACACAACAAGGTACAATGCACAAAGCACTGAACACAAATGTATTCATGATATTAATAATCCCAACTAAAGGTGACCACCAGAGAAAGGCGAATTAAAGGATAGGAGAGAATGGAGAAGAGGGAAAAAAAGGAGTGCAGAAATGAAATTGGGAAAAGGAAAAAAAAAAAAAGAGAAAAGAGGGAGAATAAGACAGAATAGGGGAAAAAACTATACATATGGGGAGAAAACTCCAATAGAACAGCCACTAATCCCAACACATGCCAGCAACAAGTATCTGGAGATGAATGCAAACTACCAACAACAACTAATATCAAGTGAAAACAGAAGAAAAAAACCAAAAACAAAATTAAAAAAAAAACAAACAGAAAAAGAGAAACAATTCCACAAATAAGCATAAATAATCAATATAATCAACAATCAAGCAAACAACAATAAAAGGACAGAGAAAAATAAATTAAATATATATATTTTTAGTAGTGAAGAAAGAGAAGAGAGAGTTGTGTATACACTTGGAACAGGAGATTGGAATTAGATATATAAGTAGGGCGAAATTTTAATGGGATAAAAAGAAGGAATAGGGAAAATCTAAAGCAGGAATAGGGTAATGAAACAGGACAATGAAAGGGGAAAAGTGAGGAAAGGAGTGATGGCATAAAGGTAAAGCTGAGATAGAGTAAAATGATGCTAAAGGAAAGATGAAAATAGAATTTAGAACACTAATCCCAAAGTAAAATAAAGAGAAAATAAAATGAAACTTTTTTTTAAAAAAGGTAAAATAGTACTACTAATAATACTGATTGAAAATAAAAATGTAATAATTAAAAAGGTAAAATAATGTCAGAAAAAATTTATTTCTTAAGTAAAAGATGAAAAAAATAAAAATGTGCAGTAGGTCATTCAGTTCCTTTATTGTTCTGTTTGGCACGCCTGTTTCCCAGTCAGAACAGTATTAGAGTTCCCTGTTTTCCAATGTTGTAAGCCAGTCCTGATTTTTAAGCAGGCGGTATGTCCTTATTTATTCTATTCCTTTATTTGTGTTTACACAAGAGTCAATTTGTGATTCAACCCCTGGGTGGCAGTGTTTCTGGATTGACCTCTGGGTCTATAGGTCCTCTCTGGCTAGTGTTTAGATTTTGTTTTTCCCATGGCACTTAATACCAGTTTAGGGGAATGGGCTGCCCCAGGGGTGGTTCTCTGATCATTATTCCCCATCTGATCCCCAGGTTCCAGAAAAACAACTTTCCCCTGCAGTCTCTTAGAGTGACCTCAATTGGGTGATCCTATGTATTGGGCTTAGTAATCAGAAGCAAGGATTTAAAGAGAAAACAATAAAAAAATAAAAAATAAGAGCCAGAGTAAGTGTGCAAACTCCGGGGTTGCACACAAGTCTGTGCAGTCTTTTCCCCCCTTGGGTCTAAGCAGCCTGCACACTTTTAAAAAATTTAGGCTGTCCTTTTGCACCCAGATCAAATGGGTTGCTTTTTAGAGTTCCCTTCTGTTAGCATCTCTGCAGACCCTCTTCCACATTCATGGATCACACCAGCCCCAACAGCCACCCATTTTTCTAGGTGCAGACTTCTCTGTGTCCGCCGGGGTGCATTTTTCTCTCCTGCCAGCACCATAGACCTCACCTTATCCAGGTGAAATCTGACCTTTTTGTGAGGGAATGTTGAGCTCCTTTGAATCCATGAACTTTTGGCACGTGGGGACTGGTGTTCTCGGGTTCACAGCTGTTCAGTGGGAGCCATAATTGTAGATTCCTCAGGCTTTTCAGGCGTCTGATAACATCCACTTTGCCCTTTCTTCAAGATGGCATGGTCTCCGCATCCAAGTGGGTCCCTCTGGGAAGGAACCCAGCAGCAGTGGGGGCTGCCCAGTCAGGGGAGCACCATCCAGCAGCCCTCTACAGCCTCCTGGAGTATAGCTGTCCCTCAACTCAAACAAACACTCCCGGTGCAACCACACACTCTCCCTTTGTTTTCTCACTCACACACTATCTTACAGTCTGCCTTCCCATTGGCAGCCATCTTTCAGGATCTAATTTTAAAATCTTATAATTAAACCAGTCTGAGAAAGATAGATATCACATGATCACACTCATTTGTGGAATATAATGAACAACATAAACTGATGAACAAAAATTGAACCAGAGTCATAGAAGCATTGAACAGACTGTCGAACCTAAGAGGGAAGGCAGGGGGTGAGGGCGTAAGAGATAAACTAAAGGACTTGTATGCATGCATATGAGCACAACCAATGGACACACATAGAGGGCTTGGGGGGAGTGGTAAGGGAAGGTGGTGGTTGGTGGGGGTGGCCAGGGAGAGGTCAATGGGGGGAAAAAAAGAAGACTTAGGTAATACTTTAAAAATAAAGAATTTAAATAAAAAAAAAATCTATTGATTTTAGAGAGGAAGGGAGAGGGATAGAGGGAGAGAAACATCAATCAGCTGCCTCCTGCATGTTCCCTACTGGAACATGTGCCCTGACCCTAGGCTGAACTGGCGACCTAAGACCTAACTGGCAACCTTTTGGTGCATGGAAAGATGCTCAACCAACTGAGCCACACTGGCCAGGGCCGAATTGATATTTTTATTTTGAAAGGACACATAATAAAAGTTTTATAGTCTTCCTTAGGCAAATTAGTCAAATGAGAGAAAATATCATAAATATTCAGAAAAAGATTTAGATCAAGCCAAAAAACAAATCATTCTTAACAATGATTTCTTGTCTCAGGAAATAAAAAATTGAGGTTTTATCAGGTTTTTGCTTCTATAGAAGAATTTAGCAATATATTGTGAGCAAGGAAAATACTCAATTTCCAAGACCAATGTTTTTTCTTGCATTATTGTTGCTTTACTGGAAAGGAAAATTTAATTCTGAGAAAACAATTTTTTCACTGGCCTACCCAGAGCAAATATTCAGCCTGTGTATCATTACAAATAGGGGCATTTTCTCAACCTGCTCTTGCCTTTGGCTCTCATGCGGAATTAGGAAGCCAGAACTTTGATTCGTTATTTTACTGGAACATTTCATCCTTTTTGGAGGTGAAATGTTCTTTTGAAAAGAAATTTAAAACCTTATTAAATTTGCACGAACTTATAAAAGTAGATTACGTTCCCAATTCTCTTTTATACTGACACTCGTAATGCTATAATTGCTAGTTTATTATAAATGTAGTTGTAGCTATTCAGTGAAACCAAGAGGTAAGTAAATATTAAAATATAACAGAGCTTCAACTCGCCTGACTTACAGTTTTTGTATGATCCTGCATAGCTTCTTATGATTCTGGGATGACTTGGCCAGGTTGCTTGAGGCGGTTTAGGTGAGAGCTGCAACTTTCCTTTTCTTCTTTACTGGTAGGTTATCAGTGTCTCTCCATGTGGAGTAACGCCTGTTCTCTTTAATCCGGTCAGTTCTCCCCCCTCCCTTTTAGTCACAACAGTTCTGGAAGCAGAGTGTCCCCAGGCCCGTTGTTAAGGAGAAGCATCAAGGACCCCACTAGCAAGTCGTCTGTAATTCCATCGTCTTTTAAGCAGCTGCTGCTCATAGACATCAGATGCTTTAGCACTGGAATGCCCACATGGCTGGGAAGCTTTCTTTTGGGGAAGAGGGCTGATAAATATTAATAGACTCTAATCCTTCATTAATAAAAATGAAAATCCATCCATGGCTGTACAGCTCACATAGTGGCCACCAGCCACCTGGAAAGGGTGTCGTCCGAATTGGGATGCGCTGTAAGAATAGAATGCACACGGGGTTTTGGAGGCTTCATTGGAAAAGACATGTAAAAATGCCTCATTAATCTATTTTATATTGGTGACGTCTTGAAATGATGGCATTTGAGATAGGTTGGGTTAAATAGAATATATCACTAAAATTAATCTCGCCTGTTTTATCTTTTTTTTTTAATGGGGCTGCTAGGAAATTTAGGCTCCCATTTTATTTCTCTTAGAGAGTGTTGTCCTAGGGCGACAGAAATGCCATTTCTAAGTGCTGTGGTTTTAACAGTTCTCATAATGTTCTTGGGTATATGTGTCTAGTAAAATAATAACAGGTTTCCTGTGTTTTTTTTTTTTTTTTTTTGGTTCCTTAAGGTTGAAATCAGCATTCAGAGCAACTTCCAGCCTGGGATGAAATTGGAAGTGGCCAATAAGAACAACCCGGACACATACTGGGTGGCCACTGTCATCACCACCTGCGGGCAGCTGCTGCTTCTGCGCTACTGTGGCTACGGGGAGGACCGGCGGGCTGACTTCTGGTGTGACGTGGTGATAGCGGACCTGCACCCCGTGGGGTGGTGCACGCAGAACAACAAGGTCCTGATGCCCCCGGACGGTAAGCTCCCAGCTGGCCCACGATTCAGAGCCTTTGGGTTTGCGGGCCATCCTTATTCACGGTGTTTGCAGGTATCACCTTGCAGAGATTCCACAGTGGATTCAGCGGGAAACTCTAGCACTTTAAAGATTGCCTCCTGGGTTTCATAGGTTTGATGGTGCTGGCGTGAGAGGGAACTTGGATGCATTCTTGGTTGTCAGAACTCTTCCTGAGCCAATCATGGCCTTCAGGAGACAAAAGCTCTGGAGCCTGATTTTGGAGGTAGGAGAGGAGGCTGAGATTGAGGTTTTGTTTTCCATTGCCGATGGATTGTGTTGTATTTCTTTTGCTTTACAGATTTCACATTTTGAACAGTGCTGTAGAGCATCTGTAGGACCTCTCCAAGTTTTAATCTCTCTTGTTGTGGGAGACACTCAGGGTGTGCTGCATGCAGAAACCAAAGAAGAGACATGCTATAAAACAATGGCAGTTTTTACCCTCAGGGGACATGTGACAATGTCCAGAAGTATTGTTGTCTATGAGAGGGGAAGGAGGAAGGAGCTCTTGGCATCTGGTGGGAGGAGGCTAGGATGCTGCCAAATATCCTACAATGTAGTGGACAGCACCCCAACAAAGAATTATCGAGTTCAAACTCCAATAGTTGAGAAACCCTGTTTAAAAGAGTGGCAGCATATTACAGATGCATTAAAGGAGCTCAAATGATCTTGTCAGTGAGAAAAACTGAGTCACCAATATTTGAATCTCAACAACCTACCCTCAATGTTTCATTGTATGATGACAGCAGTAGTTACATTTGAAGGCTTCTGATGCTAATTCTCCAGTGTAATGACTTCTTAGTACTTGTCTGCCACTTTTAGCTTTGAATGGGTATTTTTATTTCAAAGTGACATGTGAAGTTTTAGAGCTGAATTCCAAGTTTTTTGTGTCCATCATATTTAGTTATTTTCACCTTTCAGAGCATTTGAGTTTTATCTTCTTTTTTAAGTTCTAATATGTTGTTTTTTTGATAGGTGGGAATGGTAATGGTTTTTTACTTCCCCTTTTTATGCTTTACAGAGAGCCTGATAAATAGTGGGATCATAATAAATGCAAGGAGTTTGAGTTGCATTAATGGGTATATGTCAGGGTTGAAATTATTGCCTTGGCCATAGCTAACACTGTGACCCTTTGTTGTCTTAGGAGAAAGAGAGAAAGGCCCTTCTTGCTTTGGGTCTTTTCACCTGCTCTCTTCTGGGCCTACACCATCTTCTTCCAGCTGGCAGCTTCTCTTATCACTCTCTCAGGCAACTGTGGTCAAGGACTGAAGTGCCCTTAATGTTGATCATATTTGTAACTGTGCCTCCCATTGATTAAAAAAAAAATGATATGTAATTCACATACTATAAATTCATCTCTATAAAGCTCAGTGATTTTTAATATAGTCACCAGGGCATGCAGCCACTATCACTGTCCAATTCCAGAGTATTTCCATCATCCCATAAATAAGCCCTGTACCCATTTATAGTCACTCTCATTCTCCCATCCACCCAGGCCCTAGCCCTAAACTACTTTCTGTTTCTGTAGTCTTGTTTATTCTGGACATTTCCCATATATGGAATCGCATAGTGTGTGGCCTTTCGTGTTCAGCTTCTTTTACTCAGCATTTCGTATTCAAAGCTCATCCATGCTTAGCACGTATCAGGACTTCATTCCTTTTATAGCTGAATCATATTCCATCAAATGGATAGAGACCACATTTTGTTTAACCATTTGTCAATTGATGTGCATCTGGGTGCAATTGTTCTTTGAATTGTGTGGTTCTCTAAATCGAAGACTCCCTCTCCATGTGCCTCCCACCTCTTTCCGTATTGGTAGTGTCTTTGTATACAGAAGTGTGAGTCTTTATTTCTCATCTCTGTTGAGGGTTACTTCTCAGGTGAGTGCTGGAGAATGGTGTTAATGCATGAGCCTTTATTTTTCCCTCTTGTTCTAGTTCTGCAAGGGCAAATAGTTGAACACTATCTGCAATGCCTTTGGTAATGCTTGCTACTTTTAGACTAAGGCTCAGTTTAAATTGTGCCATTAGTAGGACAATTAATTTGTTTTTACCCTTTTTACAAAATTTTAAGTGTACAGTACATTATTGGTAACTATAAGTAGAATGCTGACAGCAGATTGCTAGAACTTTTTCATCCTGCATGACTGAAACTTTATACCCATTGAACAGTAACTCACCATTTCCCCTTTACTAGTCTTGGGTCACCAGCATTCTACTCTGTGTATGAGTTTGAAGACTTTAGATGCCTCAAATAAGCATAATCTTACAGTGCTTGTCCTTTTGTGACTGGTGTCTTTCACTTAACGTAATGTCCTCAAGGTTCATCCACGTAGCATGTGACAGGATTTCCTTTTTAAAGGCTGAATAGTATTCCATTTGGCTTTGAATGCAAACAGCCACTAAGGTGAGAAGATATAACATGCAATGATTTAACGTACCTATAATTTATGATCTGTCATAGAGTAAACCAGTCTTGAATGGGTGAATTATATGGATGGAATATTGGGAAAATAGCAGTTGTAGTTAGAAAATTAGTCTAATTCTCACTTGCCCAGTTCTACATGCAAAGGCCACATAGATAGGCCCCTATACTCTCAGGAGAGTACAGTCAGACATGCATTAATTCCAGGCAGGCGATACACACGTGGGGGCACTGTCAGAGGGGAATGCAGGAGGGAACCAGGAGGCAAGCCCCATTCCTAGCGGCAGGCTTACCTTTCTCTGTTCTTGCCTGTGTCATTCATGTATGACTCACTCTTAAAAGGTTGACACTTAGTAGCTAAACGTCCTTGGAAAGGATGTGAGATGGCTTCACGTAATAGATTATTTAGTGAATAGTATTAGAGAGAAGTTCCGGGGTACTGAATTTTAACACTCTAAGAGCTAATGGGTTCACTTGGTAAACATCCATGCTGTTGCTTGAGAAAGACGGTGTAGCTCATTAATCGATTCTTCTTTCTCACTGGGATGAAAAATGCGGCAGCAGTCACAAATTCGGAAACACTGTCAAATTTGTATCCTACTGACTTCCTACTATCAGGCAAGACACAGACACACTTAACATGACAAATTCAAAATAAAAATAAAAACCCTGTAACGAGGAAAACCACTTATGTGACTGGAAGGTAGGAGGGCTTTTCACAAGGTAACAAGGTATGCTAATTTTGAGAATTTCTCTATGGCTCGTTTTAAGGAACTTAAAAAAAATTTAGTAGGTAATTAATTTGTCTTTGGAAATCTTTAGTGCAGGGAACAAAGTCAGGAAATAGCAGGTTCATGGGGCAAAAGGTTTTATTGATTCCTGCAGGACAGGATAATTATTGCTTTGTGGCTAGACAGCACTTGTTCCACTGGGAATGGCAGACTATTTTTGAAGGAGGATTCTTGTTTCTGTCTTCGAGAGAGCTCATTTCACTGTGAATTCCGCAATTGTACCTGGCTGATCTTTCTGCTGGTTAAACTTGAAAGGCTTCTCAGAATATTAACACGGGTGCAAGCAGTCCATGACACGTAATAGTCTTGTTAGGAGTGCTCTACGGTGATAGGCTTCTTATTGATCCCAGGAACCAGGGCGGGAGAGTGGGCTGTATAAAGAGAGGAATATGGCTGTTGGAGCCAGGGCCTGGGATGCTCCTTTTGCCTCAGCCATTAGCTTAGCTACGTTGGTGGGTCTCCTCTTCATTTTCGTTATCTTTAAAATGAGGTTAGAGTATCCTGTAATCTCTCAGGAGCTTCCTAGTCTCACATGCCTTGGGTTGTGATCCTTGTCAAAGAAAGGAGGAGAGAGAAGGTGCTACTTTTTCTACAGGCAGGCGTGAGCCGTGGAATTTGCTTTGGAATTAGGGTCTATGGAAATCTAGCCCAGGCATCTGTACGAAGCACGGAAGTACAGCTCCTGGGTTACTGTTGGGGATGATGACATCTCAATGGATTGAGGGCTGAACTAGCTTGGGAAGTTACTGTGAGTGCCTGGGCCCAAAGTCACTGGAAATGGATAGCATTTTGCTCATTGGAGATTGTAGACTGAGAAAGATCAGCACAGATAAAGTTGAGTCATTCAGTATATGGAGGACAGCTTCAAAATATGAAAAGACCATGGGAACTTGGGGTGAAGGGAGTGTGTTGCCTTGCATGGTCAGACTGAGGTTGCAGTGCTTGAGATCTTTCGAGATGTTTGGGATTGTTCAAAGTTGTCTTACTCTTCTGAAATCATTGCATTGAAAGAGACTCGTTTTACTATTTTTGATGATAGTTTTAACAAACATGTAACCTTCCTTAGAGTCCCATATTTTCCTGCATTGCTCCTTGAAATGAACTTAGCCTTTGAATTAACATGAGCCATCATTATTTTAAACTAGAGGCCCAGTGCACGAAATTTGTGCACTGGGTTGGGGAGGGGGGATCCCCTCAGCCCCGCCTGCACCCTCTCCAATCCAGGACCCCTCAGGGGATGTCTGTCAGGCCTAAATTGGCAGTCAGACAGTCTGCTCACAATCTGGGACTGCTGGCTCCTAACTGCTCACTTGCCTGCCAGCTTGATCACCCCTAACTGCCTGCCTCCAACTGGCCTGATTGCCCCTAACTGGGCCCCTGCCCCCTGCTCCCCACCAGCCTGGTTGCCCCTAACTACCCCCCTGCTGGCCTGGTCACCCCCAACTGTTCCCCTGCTGGCCTGGTCAACTCTAACTACACACACCCCTGCCTCTCCCCCTTCCGCCCGGCTGGACTGGTTGCCCCCACGCAGTGGTTGCCCCCACACAGTCTGCTGTTCTGTCGATACTATGAGGGTGTCCTGACCAATTTGCATATTACCCTTTTATTAATAATGATGTTATGAGGAAGGAAACAGCACAGCAGCAGACAGAATGCCCCTAGGAAGGACATGTTTAAAGAGACTGGTTTAGTGGCCAATTGGCTGCTCAAAGAGCAGTGTTCCTGCTCCTGAGCTAATCAGTATTAATCT